TCGTTCCTGCTTTATGCGAGGACAGAAAATTTGGAGGCACGCTTTCGGATTTCTCAAGGTTTGGATGCAAGGCTGCGCGACTTGGTAATGCTAGCGGATGCAGCAGCGGCAAGATCAGCTACTCGCGTCTCACTCTGGGACACGAAGCATATCTGCAAGCAGGGGCAATTTCTTTCTGGCACGTTTGGGTACACCCCCTCCCCCCTACCCCCCTCTTTCCGGGACATTGCGCTGTCACGGTGCCAGCGATGGCATAGGGTTTCGGGCTTCAAGGTTGTTTGGCTGCCGGGTAGTACGTGGTTACGCATCGATGTTATTCGAAGGCCTTGTTATGGCTCACAGTTAAGGCCAGAACATCGGAACCCGCAAGTTCGTCATCTTTCTATCGTCGGCTCTACCCTGAAAAGATGCATATTTTACCGCTGGGTTCTTTCGTGGTTGCGCAATCTGCATACCGTAGGCTGTTTGCTTTGACATGAACTCGCGCTAGGGGTGGGCGGTAAAGCTGTGGCTTCCTTAAACCCTAAACCCTAGACCCTAAACTTTGTTTTTTGTGTAGCGGGGGGCGAGCCGTGGTGCGTGTCAGGCAAAACGCAGAAGTTTTGAGGAAGGAGCGCCGAAGCTCGAGAGAGAAAGTCAAGCGCATGGCCCTTTTTCGTCCGTGATCGTGCCAAAGGTACTCTGTGCATGTCTGAGTTTTTTGCATCTGCAAGCGACAGAAGAACCGTAAAGTCTTTGTACTGCAGAACTGCAACCGATCTATTCAACATGCAAGGTCAAGTGACAAGATTGTCCCACGTCACGCGGCGAATCTCACTCCCATGTCTTCGCTACTGTAGCTCAAGGCACGACTTGCTTTTTGTACGAGCGTTTAACTCAAGCATTTCCAATCTTACTTCATAGCCGCTCTCATAGGCATCCATTCTGCACCTCCCCTGTACTCCCCTACATCCTGTCGTGATGCCGTCATGAGCCTTCCGCTATTACCTGGTATGACAGCCATCCATCATCCATCATGCTCGAAACACATGAAACACTTCAGGAGCATACCATTCAAACCTTGCATAGCGGCTCTCGACACAAATAAACTTGCGCAGCCTCGGCCTAAGCCACGGTCGATGGCGGCCGTGCTTGCCGAAGCACAGATCTGTTGGGTTTTCCAAGACCAACAGGTTTCCTGATTCCAACTTTTTGCAAGAGTTCGTGTGGAATCAAGGTCGCAAAGTAATTCAAAAACCGTGAGAAAGTGGAATGCAGAAGGTGTGTGCTTGAAGTGTTATTTGCATCAACGACAAAGGGCTACAAACAGTAGCACTGCAAGGTCTTCGGGCAGGGTTTCGCTTCGTGTTTTCCACAAACACAGAAACATCTCAACGTTCGACATGACTCCGTGCTCTTGATTGGACGTAGTTCATGCACTATACTTCACTATACAGTATCTCTGTGTTCCTCGGACTCTCATGTCTGTTTGCCGGTCTCTTTCTCTACATGCTTCTGTGTCCTTGTTTCCACTCACAGCCACAGCCCACGTATGCGCTCCGGGACGGACAGACTGTCTGCGCGCAGAGTCGGTTTGGGTGTGCAACTGTTTGCGAATGGGCGACGTCTCCAGCATTATCATCGTTGGAATCAGGAGAACTCGCACACAAGCATAGTTGCAGGTCAAGGTGGGTGCTCCTTAATTATGCCTAATGATGTGCAAGCAAAGGGCCATCTCTATCAGTGGAGCTGCATCGTTTCTCGAAGTGAACTTGCACATCTTCGGATTATTGGTGGGTGGTGCCTTGACATCTTTACATCAAAGGTTTGACTTGCCTGTGTTGTCGCTAATGCCGTGAGACAAGCAATGAACAATATGTAATTTCGAGAGAGGCTAGAACACAGGCATTTTGTTGTTTGGCTGGACCACCACGCTGCTTGCTCACTATCGCACTCCAAAGGGCGTGAGGGCACCGTGGCTGGTGTGCATCAACGCTGGAGTATGTGGACCTCTTCATGTTTTGGCTGCAGTGAAGGACACTCATGTGCTCAAGCTATGCCCGCACATCGAGCTTCAGATCTACAACCGCAGTCTTTTGCTCAGCGCATTGCTTGCGTCATCACTGTGGATCTCGAAAGTTGATACCCGCTCGTCTCAGTACTTCCTCGCTCTCATGTTCAACACAGAGGCAAGCCCCTTTTGGCTTCTTTTTGTTTGGATGACTTGTTGGCTCTGTCATGCTGCGACGGGCTACGCGGCAGTTGATGCCATCCGCACCAACCAGCGCAACATGATCCAGAGAGAGAAAGGGGATGCAGAGCAAGCCGGAACAGCTGGGTACGGAACATTTCCTTCTTCGGCGCAGGGAAATACAGCGAGCGCCGGATCTGAGCAGTTCCCTGCAGCTCCGCCAGGTATCAGGCTGCCTGAAGCGGCCGGTCCGCCAATCCGCCGGCCGCCGCCGCCTCCACGGCCGCCGCCTCCACGGCCGCCGCCTCCACGGCCGTCGCTCAAGTTCCCACCTGGAATCAGCTTGGAACCTAATCGATCATCGAGAACCCAAGGCCAGACCGGCCCATGATGTTGGCAGCAGGTCCTCCATCACCCGTACTGGTTCATCCAAAAAATGGGTCAGACCCGCTGTGACGTCAGAATGCACTGGGTGGCCAACTTCAAGCTCTGGGAGGCAGCGTCGCACATCAGGAAAAGAGCCGTGAATTGCGCAGAGCTCTAGCTCTTGGAAGCCCTTTGACTTAGTAAGTCGGGACTGTCCGGTGGGTTATGGAGATATGGGGGGCTTGTACTGGGGTTTCTGGCAGGCTACTAAGTACTCTTACTAAGTCGAAAGAGCCGAGCTTCGAAGCATAGAGGCAAGCCCAAGTCCTTTGCGTTTGTGCGCCAGGTATCACCCAGTCATGCCTTTTTCATGGAGTTCCTTGGCCCATGGCTACCAAAGACGCAAGACCTCTAACCCTGAAGCCCTACTCTTGAAAGTCCCACGCAAACCTTTCTTCCTGCTGCCAGGCCGACTGTATTTGGATGACTATCGTACTCGTGCGTACGAGGACGGGAGGGAAACTCTCGCCTCCCCCCCCCCCCCCCCCCCCCCCCCAAACAAAAAAAACAAGAGGCCTAATTACTTGGCCTAGTTTGAATTCCTTCTTCATGACTAAGCCCCCCCTTACCCTAAATTAAACCCTTAAGTTTCAAGGAAAATCAGGTCCTTGTGCTAGTTCTCAACCCATTCCCGGATCCCCCCCCCCTGTAGTAGCAGTCCTTGTAGGCATCCTTCTAAGGGGCTCGAAAAAACTCCTACTACCTTTTGTGGTCCACGCTGTGAGGGGGAATGACCCAACCTGGGCCCTAACCCTAAAGCCTTCAACCCTGCAAACCCTAAACCCTTCGGGTCTGGGGTTTATAGGGTTCAGGGTTTGCCGGTTTGCCCAACATCCTAAACCCTCCCGCGCCCGAAGCTCGAATTGGCATCTGTGTGGAGACTTGACCAGACCAGCGAATTTGCCGCTTGTTACCTTCCAGAAACCATGCGGGGCTTTTGGGATTGAGGTTTTTTAGGTTTCAAGGCTTGGGAATTAGGGATTCGCTCAGGATTTCTTGCTTGCATTTTGATTCCCTACACTTTAAACCCTGAACCCTGTTTTTTGGGCTGCGGGGTTTTGGGGCAGCTTGCAGGTTTGCTTGGGCAGCAGTTGATTTCCTACATCGTAGCTAATCTATTCCGGGTTGCAAGAGAAGGCTTCGGCCGCAGGGCTCGAAGGGTTTTAGGGTTTAGGGTTTTACTGGTTCACTGATAAGTGTTGTAGGGTCTTTAAGGGCCTTTAGGGCTTTCGGGTTTAGGGTTTAGGGCGGAGTCTGTAGGACTAGGTTCATGGGCACTAGCCATGGCGGGCAGCCAGCCCGTGGTGGTGGCGGTGGGGTCACCCAACTGGGACGCTTGGCAGATTATACCTACACCCTAAACCCTAAGCCCTAAACCCTAAACCCTAAACGAACCCCAAACCCGAAAACCCGGGGGCGTGGGGGGGGGGGGGGGGGGGGGGGGGGGGGGGGGGTATGGTACTCTTAGTTATCCTGAACCCTAGACCCTAAACACGAAACGTGATATTCGTAAGTAGGCTGTATCTGGCCCACTTATGAGTTCTCATGAACCCCCGAGGTGGTCTTTCGCATGTTTAGGACCGCAGGCGCCTGAACGTGGCCAAGGCGTTGCACGGATCAGCATGGTTTTGGGTGTATAGGGTTTACTTAGAAGCTCTTTTGACTTAGTACGTCGTACTTGGTAAACCCGAGAAGCCCGATTGTAATCCCGATAGCCCACCTTACGATTCCGAGCATCTGTTTAATTGCCCCCCCCAACCGCAATAAGAAAGGCAGGGCGCCGCAATAATAAGACCATGGCAATGTATTGATTCTCTATTTAAAGCAATAGGAATACCGATCAGAACTGCAGCTGAGCAAGCAAAAAAAGAAGCCTGCAGACAGCTTTTTGCACGCCCCGGAAAATGTTCTTTAAATGTGGTATTACCCCGTACGAAAACCCCCGTAATGGAAAGTAGTCTTCCTGCCGGCTTTTCGACGAAAACAAGACCCTACTTACTAAGTCACAAGGGCTTCCAAGTAGGCTTAGGGTTGAGGGTTTAGGGTGAGCATTTCAGCCTACACGTTGTGAGCCCGAGGCGTGCCTCTCCTGCATCTAACGGCAACATCATCGCGGCATTATTCATGCCACAGTACATGGGCTCTAGCAGCGGCGGCTCATGACCACGAAGATATATGGTTAGCTCTCCACGTTCAGGGCCTTGTAGACTCAAAACCGCAAACCCTGAAACCCCTAAACCCCAAACCCCAAACCAAAAGCCTCTTAAAAGTTGTTCCCCAAGTACCCGTAAATAAGAACTACCAAGCCCTAGACCCCAAACCCCAAACCCCAAACCCCAAACCCCAAACCCCAAACCCCAAACCCCAAACCCTAAACCCTAAACCCTGCAAATGCAAGGATACCATGGCCTTCGTACCAGATGCTTTCCTGGCCGAGCAGGGCTTGAGGAAAGGTGCCGGAGAAGGGTTTCGTTGGTTTAGGGTTTAGGGTTTAGGGTGTAGGCTGTAGGGTTGAGGGTTTGGGGCTCAGAGAAAAAAACCTAAATCCCTAAACCCGAAACCCCCCCCAGCCCCCTCAAGCCCTTCTACATCTACCTCTATCAGTTGCGAGATATTGGGCGGCGGCATGGGCGCCCTGAACTCCATAACTCCGAAGCTGAACTCCAAGCTCTGAGCCCCTAAACCCGCCCTAAACCCCAAACCCTGACAATGAAGCCCTAAAGCCTAGATCCTCCACCCTACACCCTACAAACCCTAAACCCTAAACCCTACACCCTAAACCTTACAAACCTTAAGCCCTGCAAGCCCTGTAAAACCTAAACACAGTAGACCTTAAACCCCGAACCTTGAACCTGAGCCTTGGCCTCATAGACCCTGAACTCTGTTGCCGAAAGCGATGCCCTGGACTTCTACACACTCAGCCTGTGGTGCAGGGCTTAGTTTTTTAACCCCTAATGGTCCATGTACCTAAATAGGGAATACTTGGGCCTTAAAGTACTTCCTAGATAGGACTTTGGGGCCCAAGTATACCATAATCAGGTACATGGACCCTTAGGGTCAGCTCTCCTACACACGAACCGCGCACCTTTAAACAGCAAAAGGGTGCCCTTGACTTGCTAGAAGACTGAACCACCTAGATGTCCGTACATCCCTCATCGTTTAGGGTACCAGTTCATCCCTAAGCCCCGAAGCCAAAACCCAAAACCCCATAAAACTAAACCCCTAAACCCCTAAACCCCTAAAGCCTTAAAGCCCTAAACCCCTAAACCCCCAAACCCCTAAAGCCCTAAAGCCCTAAACCCCTAAACCCCTAAACCCCTAAACCCCTAAACCCCTAAACCCCTAAACCCCTAAACCCTAAACCTTAAACCCCAACCCTTAGATCAACTCCCTTTTTGCATTGCCCCTGGGTGAGGTGATGCCACGCCGCTGGGGGATGGCGCGGCTCCCTGGCTCGGGGATTTATGGCGGTTTGTAGGGGCCCGAAACCCTATAAACCCTACACGCTAACCCCTAAACCCCAAACCCTAAACCCTAAACCCCCGCAGGCCTTCAGGCGGTTGAAAGAGGCCGCCGCGGGAATCTCCTCTCGCAGCCTCTCGCAGCTGGGCGGACAGCGTTTAGGGTTTAGGGTTTAGGGGTTTAGGGTATTGGGGTTTAGGGTTTAGGGTTTAGGGTTTAGGGTAAGTTTCAAGGGCTTGTCGTTTGCGTTGGGGACGCTTCTTGACCTTCAGGATCTTAGGGTTTCTGGCTTTCGGGTTTGGGCTCCAGGGGCTGTGGGATCTACCCGGGTTCAGGATATTAGGGTTTTCGGCTTTGGGGGGTTAAGGGCTTCAGGCGTTTAGAGAGTGGTTTGGGTAGGGGCTTCTGGCTTTAGGGTGGATTTATGGGGATTCTTCTTGGGCAGCTTTGGGGCGGCGATCGTGGGCGTTCACAGAATCAAGTCGTGAGAACGATGGCCCTCTCGGTGTTTCTCGCGCTCAGATCCACGAGTATCCCTTTCACTGGTTTGGGACATACAAGGACCGGCTCGCCTAGTTACACGCAGAGTTGTAAGGACCCTAAATGGGGTAATAATGAGTCGAACTTAGGTTCTGAGTACCTTAACTTTGGCTAGTATAGCCTCCTTGTAGGGCCGGCATAGTAGATGTCGGCCTTATAGGCTCCCATCAAAAGCATGTGGCCCCAAGACAAGTAGGTGCAGAACTGCCCCCCGAAGGCAGTGCGGCGGGTGCTCCTGCAACACTGCCAAAGTGCGGGCCTCGTGCGCCATTCGGGGCTTCAGGAGGTGTTGGGCCCTAGCTTTAAGTAGATTGACCTGGGGCTTTTCAGGTTCAGTTCAAGTGCTTTACTTATAGCTTGGGTCATGATCTAAAGCTGGGGTAAAACTATCGGGTTTATGGTTTAGGGGGGTTGCGGTTTAGGGTTTAGGGGTTTAGGGGTTTAGGGTTTAGGGTTTAGGGTTTAGGGTTTAGGGTTTAGGGCTGAAGCCATCGATGCCAGTGAGGTGCTCGCTTGCCTCGGCTGCCAGACTTTCTTCTGCGGCTGCGTGGGCGGCGATGCGGCGGACCGCCGAAGCCATTGGGTTGAGGTTGTAAAAGCCATGCTTGGAGATTCATTCCTTGGAGGTTCTTGGTACTTATTAGCCAATTGTAAGGGTTTAGGGTTTAGGGTTTAGGGGTACTGATTAACCAAGTATAAGTGTACTTATAGGCCACTTATAAGCCCCTTAAGTGCCCGAATATGGTTATAAGTACAGTTAGAATTGGTTTATAAGTATCATGAACCTCCAAGTGGGGTCTTCGGGGCTGAGTAGTTAACCTTTAACCTTTTTGGTTCAGTTATATATAATCCTATTACAAAGAAAAAGGTTAGCCGTTTTGGGGCTAACCGTTTTTGGGCCAGGGCATTCAGCCCCTAAGGGGTTGAGGTGTTAGGGTTTCTGAGGGCCAGTGGTACCCTTTTTGCCTTTTCTTGGTTCAAGGTTCCTGCCAGCCCTTTAACAGGGGCAACTGCCCTTATTAAAAAGGGTTGCTGGGCTACCAAGAATCTTTATAGGGGAGACAGTAGGCAGTAGCTTGGACTTCTTAGGGATGAGTGTTTTACAAAACCTCAAACTTGGGATGTTCTCCCTTACACTAGCATAGGGGACTGTAGTAGGGGGTACTATAATCCCTATTACGGACTTTTAATATAATGGGGAACAGTAGGTCGGCCTAATCCCCTGCGGGCAAACCAGCCAGCAACCGCTTCGCAACAGCAACGATAGCAGCGATGAGCCTTGATAGGAGGAGGAGGAAGAATAAGAAGAACACGATGGAGAGAACAATGCGACGTGCTACTACAGAAAGTAGTAACGACCATAGACGAGAGAAGAAAAATAATACTGTGCTTAAAACGGGTAAGGGTACGGAGACTAAGGAGAATCTTACTATGAACAACTACAATGACGTGTACAAGCAAGTAAGAAGAACAACGCAAGGAAGCATCATAACAATAATGAGATTAGTAGCAACATCCTCGTCAGAAAACTGTCCTGGCTCTGGAGGCCCGAGAAACTTGGAGGGCTCCCAGAGAGGAGTGCCTTGAGCACAGGTGGGCAGTCAGTTTCGTGAAGCTCTGTGTCAGCTTGGCATGGTGGACCTCTGCCCACAGGCGCAGGGGACGACGAAATTTCAATTTCGGCATTTTGGGTTGAAAGGCAGTTTAAATGAACATATATCAAAAAATATGGTTCTCGCTTGAATTCCCTATCCTTGCATCTCGGTTGTAATCAAAAGTAACAGTACACGGGTTGGTTTCGGGGTTTTGGCGTGGCCTTTGATCACCCAGTGGCTCAAGTTCCACCCTAGAGTACCAAAGTCGTGTGACGCACAGTAGAATCTTTACTCCCCTCTTAAAGGCCGAGGATCCCTCATCAAGCCTGTGAACAGGAAACATAGAAGGCCGAAGGCACTTGAAAGTACTGTCCGAGCGGTGTGTCGGGTGCGGTGGGGGTGGTTTAGAGGTTCTTTGGCCAAGGTTTAAAAACCAAAGAAGTCTATAAGGCCTCCACGCCCACATCCGAAATCCTGTAAGCTCTAAGCCACATAGCACGTCCCAACCTTCAGTACCTAAACCCGCAAACACGCAAACCCTCCATGCCTAAGCCTAAACCCTGCGTGGACCCGAGAGCCCTGCAACTTCCCTGTAGACCCACAACCAGGGCCCCCTAGATACAAGTCGAGTTCGGAGAGCCTTTACATGGGCTATAAGTTCAAGTGCATTAGCTTCTACTTCCCTATAGTTAGGATAGCAAGGGTGTGGGGATCCCCCTAAACCCTAAGCCCGCCCTATCCCCCAAGTTTAGGGTTTAATCTAGGGGTCGGAAAAATCACTAATAGTATTCCCTTATGGCCCCCTTATAAATATACTATAAGAACCCCCAAAACCCTGTTCCAATTATTAAGGCCCCTATATTGGGATGTAGGATTCCAGGCTGCAGACCGAGACAGTGGAGAAGTCCTTTGCCTGGTCGCGGAGCATGGGCTGAAAGTAGCAGCTGTCCGTTTTACTGGTGCTGGTGCCGGTTTAGAGTTTAGGGCGTTTAGGGTCTTCTGGGGTTTAGGCTTCGGGCTGCAGGTTTAATGTAGGTTTTGGGGCTTGTTGGGTTTGGGAGCGTTCTCAGGCCTATTTTTCGGCCCCGAAACCGGAATGCATTGCTTAAATCTTGGCAGGACCCAAATTACGGTTTCACGACCTGAATTAAGTGGCACTGCTGGAGCCTAAACCCTAAACCCTAAACCCTAAACCCTAAACCCTAAACCCTGGGGTCCAAGGAAGATGGTGAGCGATCCTTTGCTTACCGCACTGGCGCTGGCCTCGGGGTGAAGTAGGGCGGATCAGGATTTGGTGTTTAGGGCCTAGGGTTTGGGATGTTGGGTTTGGGGTTTAGGGTTTGGGGTTTAGGGATTCTGACCCATGGGTTTAGGATTTTGGTGGGCTTAGGCCTAGGGCTTAAGTTTTGGGCAATTGAGGGCCCCGAGACCCTGAAGCCCAACGAACACAAAAGGGGGGGTCGTAGCATAACAGGGTTCAGGGTTCAGGGTTTAGGAGACCCGCACATTTGTCCAGCTCCACTACGGCTTACACCCCTTAGTGAGGACCTCAGTTCGAAGTGAGATACAATGTTTCTTTTTCCGGTTTTTTCGGGTTTGTAGATTTCATGGGTGTTTCACAAGCACCTGTGCACATGTGCGCGTGCGTATGCGTGTATGCATAGCTGTACCAGCATGTCAAGCGCTTCAACTCCTTGGCCGTACACGCTACCAAGGGTGAGGCTTGCCCAAGCACAGCCCCAAATATTTCCCCTTACAGAAGAGTCTTTCGGGGTTTAGGGTTTAGGGTTTAGGGTTTAGGGTTTAGGGTTTAGGGTTTAGGGTTTAGGGTTTAGGGTTTAGGGTTTAGGGTTTAGGGGCACGCCAAGGTGTTGCATCAGACGCCCTGGAGTCTGGTGCACTCTCTGCTGCTCTGGACCAGGCCAGTGACCGAGTGAGAACCCCTAGCGGTGTAGAAAGGATTTAGGCTTTTGAGTTTCGGGCTGGTGACGGGGAGTCAGGGCCCGATAAACCACTAAGCAGGACCGAGCAAGATCAAAACAATGAGCGCCCCAATCTGCCCTAAACCCTAAACCCTAACCCTAAACCCTAAACCCTAAACCCTAAACCCTAAACCCTAAACCCTAAACCCTATACCCTATACCCTATACCCTACACCCTACACCCTACAAACCCTAAACCCCAACCCCCCTACGCCCCAAGCTCCAAGCCTGAAGCTGCAAGCCCCAAGTCCACAGGCCGCGAGCGCCAGCGGGAAGCTCGATCTCGTCTACTTCGACGCCTACTCGCTGCTCTGCCCAGGTCGTGCGAAGGGTTTAGGGTTTAGGGTTTTGTGTTTAGGGTGCAGGATTTAGGGTTCAGGGCTTAGGGTTAAGGATTTAGGGGTCTGTATTCGGGCGCCAATCCGGCCCGTGGCCGCCATGCTCGATGTTGAGCATGCTCAGCCTGCCTGCATCTTTGCTATGAGCCGATGCGTTACTTGCCCTGTGCCCATGGACCTTTCCATCGTCATTGCCTGCAGCACGGTGTGGAGCACGACACCCGCTGCCCAGTGTGCCGGAAGCAATTGTCAATGGCGGATGTTGGCGCGATAGAGCAGTGCCAGGACCAGGACGACCAAGAGGCCAAGCCCGCGGGCCAGCGATCTTTGTGATGTTGCATTTTTTGCACATGATTCAAACCAAAAAAGGACCCTTCTTTGCAATATGGGCCCTTTTTGCGGTCCTTATTATGAGGCGGCCCCTCTTTGCTACGGTACCGCAAAAGGGACCATATCTATAATGTAGGGATTGTACCTTGGACCCTTAAGGTTGTACCCTTGGTTTGGGACCCTTTTTCAAGATCCTTAAGGTAGTATGAGGGCCATGTTAGGAGTTTATTAACGGGAACCTTTGGGGGCACAACCTTAAGGGCACGAGCATAAGGGCCATATTCGGCGTATGCTGAGGGGAACATGTAGGGGTACAACTTGAAGGGTACGAGTCTTAATCTCTAGACCATAATACAGGGTTGAGGGTTTAGGCTTTAGGGTTAGGTTTTAGGTTTACGGTTTGGGGTTTAGGGTTCAGGGTTTAGGGTTTACGGTTTAGGGTTTAGGGCAAGTTTAGGGTTTAAGGTTTAGGGTCCACGCCAACACAGCCCGGCTCTCCCATGCTGCAAGGTCTCGTAGTTTGAGATTTAGCTTGGTAGCCCATTGGTACCCTTCTCGCTTTTGTTGGCTCAAGGTTCCCCTAATAGTAATCCCTAAAAAGGGTGCCCTTACTATGATATGGTGTAGTTTCCTAAGCTAGGACCCAGAGTAGGCCCTTATTCCTGTTATTTGGGGTTTAGGGTTCCTTTATAAGCCCCTGTATCCAAAAGGGGCCCCCCTGTGTTTTTCCTAAGTTTTTCTTGGGTCTTGTAAACCTTCAACCGCAAACCTTCAGCCCTGATGGCTTGAGATTTGAGGTTTAGTATCTGGGCTTTGGAGTACTATACGTTAATACTTTTTTTTTGTTCTGGGTTCCTATTATTGCTACTTATTACCTATAAAGTATATACTTTTTTTTCCAGGGTCTACTCCAAAGCTAAGGTATTGGCGCCAAGTTTCCTAAACCCTAATCCCAGGACCCGAAACCTTAAACCCAAGAGCCTGAAGCTTTGTATGTCCCCACGTATACTAGCAGTCCTTAATCGGGATTCTAGTACCCCCCCCCCCCCATTATTATCCCCATTAAGGACTGTTAGAAAAGGGGGGAACATCCAAAAAAAAAAAATCCCAAAGTATTGGGGTCAAGGGTGCGCAGGGTGATCGAGTTGACCTGTTGCCTGCTGGACAGGCGCGACAGCAGAGGAGACCGCTCGCTTTCCCATACCGTTCTCTTTGCCGGGGAGAGAGCCCACTCAAAACCCTGAGAACCCTAAACCCTAAACCCTAACGCCTTACTAATGTCTGCATAAAGCACTGTCCGGACAACGCCAGACGCCCTGAGCCGCAAAACCCCTACAAAAACCCTCAACCCGACACCTAAGCCCCGCATACATTCCCGATGTCTTCTGCTCGCCGGTTCCATCGAAAGTTCTTTGCTGTGTTTTGTTCGGGTTTAGGGTTTTGGGTTTAGGGTTTAGGGTTTTCGGTTTAGGGTTTGCGGTTTAGGGTTTTCACTGCTGCTAGATCCCTCCACACAGGCAACAAAGACCACAGCCATTATTTTTCCTTAGCCTGGTTTCTTTCTCTGGGTCTTCAAGAGCTTTCTAGCATGTGCGTGCCTTCCTCAGCAAACCGCCGGCTCAGGATAAAGGGTTTAGGGTTTTACTAGGGTTTAGGATTTAGGGTTCAGGGTGTAGGGTTGATCGAGGGTTTGTGGTAGCCCTTGTAAGCCCCGAGCCGCGTTAGGACTTCGCAACAGTCCACCACAGCCTCCTGTCAGCCTATCAGCCCTGTGTCAAGAAGCCCCCTTGTGTAACCCCTCTACGCCCTAAGCCCCAAACCCTGAACCCACCTGAGCTGCTTGCTCGATTCCCGACATGAGCGGGTCGAGTGCGTGCGGTCAGGCCCTTCAGTCTTTAAACCCGAAACCCTAGCCCCTAAACCCTAAACCCTAAACCTTAAACCCTAAGCCCTAAGCCCTAAGCCTAAGCCTTAAACCCTAAACCCTAAACCCTAAACCCTAAAACCCTAATCCCTAAACCCTAAACCCTAAACCCTAAACCCTAAACCCTAAACCCTAAACCCTAAACCCTAAACCCTAAACCCTAAACCCTGAACCCTAAACCCTAAACCCTAAACCCTAAACCCTAAAGCCTAAACCCTAAACCCTAAACCCTAAACCCTAAACCCTAAACCCTAAACCCTAAACCCAACCCTCTATGTTCCCCCTCACAGGAGGGCCTCCGCAAAGCACGCAGCCTCGGAGCCAAGGTGCCCCCGCAGCCCCGTTGTTTCCCTGGACCACTTGGGGTTCAGGGTTTAAGGTTTAGGGTTTCGGGTTTCGGCAGGGTGGCTTAGGGTTTAGGGATGAATTAACCCAACCCAAGTTATGGACCCTTTTTTTTTTTGGGGGGGGGGGGGGGGGGGGGGGTTGGGGGGTACGCCAAACAGACGGCGGGGGAGGGGCGTTGCATGGCAGGGACGAGAAAAAAAGGGCCATGATCAAGGGATTCAGACTTGTACCTTTAAAGTTGTACCCCCAAAGGTTCCCCTCAATCTACTCCTACTCGTAATATGGCCCTTATATTCCCTTACGAGTCTTTAAAAAGGGACCCCGACCCCACGGGTACAGCCTTAAAGGGTCCAAGGTTGACATGATGCTGTCGGGCTGAGACCCCACAGAGTCTCTACGTTCCAGAGTTCCAGGCTCCTTGGAGACAATTCAAGAGCCTAAACCCCTAAACGCTAAACCCGACGCCCTAAACCCAGGAAACCCGAAGCCCTAAACCCTAAGCTCTAAGGCCTAAATCCTACATTCCTGAGCAGGTCGAGTTTTCTTGAATCTGGCGCGGGCTCCAGAACATAGTCTCCAAAATAGAGCAGCTAGTAGACTCCATGCTCAGTTCCCGCAGTGTCGCCTTCTTGCAGTTCTCTAACAAGTTGCGGTCTGTTTGCAGGTTTCCGACCAGAGCCTGTACTGTAGTTCACAGAATCTCCCAAAGGCCTACCGGTTGGGGATAAGGGAGTTAGGTACCTGTTATCCCCCTATGTGAATCTTAAAGGAGTGCACAGGGTCCCTCATTCCCTCATTCCCTCATTCCCTCATTCCCTCATTTCCTCATTCCCTCATTCCCTCATTCCCTCATTCCCTCATTCCCTCATTCCCTCATTCCCTCATTCCGTGACCTGACCATACAGGCCGGGCTAAACTTGGGTTCCAGTGGCATCGTCCTTGCTCAGCCCTGCGCCAAGATGTTCTGGGCTGAGGGCTCTTCTATGGGGTTTAGGGTGTAATGGGTTTGGGGGGTTTCGGGTTTGTAGGGTGTAGAGGTTAGGGTGTATAGGTTTTGGCGGTTTCGGGTTCGTAGGGTTTAGGCTTTCTAGAGTCTGCATCATGCTTATGAGAATATCGAGCAAATACACCGTCTTACACACCTATCCCAGCCCGCAACAAACCCTAAACCCTAAACCCTAAACCCTAAACCCTAAATCCTCAACCTCAAGTTCGTTCTTCAGAGCTAGAACTGCATGGGCTGAACTCGCTTTGAACTCTACTAGCCCTAACCTCACACCCCGAACCCTAAACGCATGCCGCAACCCTAGCGGGATCCTGGCGCAAGGAACTTTTCGAACTCAATCAAGCTGCAGACAACTACTTGTATGCAGGGGGACATTCCTGTAATGTTGTTGTTTTGTGTAGTCGTAAACTTTGCGGGAGCTATCATTTCTACAATGGCCGTTTTATGGCCAAGCATCATGCGCAACTACCCTAAACCCTAAACCTTACACCGTTTACTGCCGAGCTTCGGGCGCTTGAGGGTCGGTTCCTAAGCACCGTCAAAGATCCTTGAGGCTTGAGACCGTGCCGGGAATCCTAAAAGGGCAACACATGGGGCTTGAGCGGCTGTGGGGTTTTGGGGCTTCAGGGTTTGGGTTCTAGGGAAATGGTTAATGGGTGGTATGCAAGGGCATATGGTACCGTAATTAGGGGCATAGCAGCTACCAACCGGGACGGCTGTGGAGTAGCAGCAGTCAACTGCCACGAGCTGATTGACGAGATAATAGATGTGGGCTATGTGAGTGACAAAATCAGGGCCATAGGCTGCGAGATAGAGTCGGGTGCTGTCTTGCGGTTCAACGAGAACCTTGTGGCCACTGCAGGCGGTGCTTTGGGAGAAATGGGTTCCAGCAAGCTGAAAATTGCCAGCTTGAGCAGCAGTCACACAAACTTCGCCTTCAGATACTTCCTGTACGGTCTGCTTGCAGGATTTGGCCTGCACGTGGCATTTTGGTGTTTATCACGCCCCTGGTTAAATTCAGCCCTCCACCCCCACCCCCCCCGCCCCAACCCTAAACCCTAAGCCCTACACCCCTAAACCCCTAAATCCGTCATATCGGACCCCCTCAAGTTGGAATCTCGTCCCAAGCTATAGGCCCACTACTGCCCCCATGGCAGCTTGAGCCCACACAACTAGCGGTTAAGGGTTTAGGGTTTTCAGGGTTTAGGGGGCTCAGGGTTTAGGATTAATGTCACGACGAAGCACGCATACATGCAGCCCCCAAGAACTCACAGCCAACTTTCCAGAAGGTTATTCTGACAGAAACCCTTTCTTGGGCAACTTCCCAAAAATGGCAGGAATCCTGACCCGTAAATCCTTAACCCGAAGCCCCGTAAGCCCTCAACCCAAACCCTAAACCCCTCAAAACCCTCAACCCTAAACCATAACCCTAAAAACCCTAAACCCAACACCCTAAACCCTTAACTCTGAACCCTAGACCCTAAACCCTAAACGCTACACGGCAAGCCACGATTCCGTTCTGAGGCACGAGCGTCTCTGGCGGCTTCTGAGAGACGGGCAGATCGATGCCCGGGACTCTGTTTTCCCAATCACTCCAGTACCCTGGGTCCATGTACCTTATTCTTGCTTATCTACTTTGGGCCCCAAAGTCCTTATCTAGGAAGTCCTTCAAGGCCTAAGTATTCCCTAGTTGGGCACATGGACCCTTAGGATACCCTTTGACTA